ATTTGTCAATGTTTAATGTTAAATTAGATGAATGAACATCGATTTTAATATCTTTGTTACTGATAATAAAATAAAATAAAAAATCATTGGATTGGTGTCAGAAGCACTTATATTATGGAAATGAAAACATCAACCTTTTAATTCCATTTTTTGTTTTATCACACATGCATATATTCTATAATTCCTTTATTGACCCTCAAGTATTTCATTGGACATGTGTTGGAAGCACATATATACTATGGAAATAAAAACCTATGCAAGGGATATAGCTTTTGAGGCATTTTGATTGGATAATATTTAAATCGCAGGTATGCCAGTTGAGCATCAACTCTTTGATCATTTTTTTCCTTCGTCTTCAGAAGATATTTCAAGTTTGGCTCCTTTGATAGATCCCCTATGAGTGCTCTTTATTTTGTCTTGCTTTTTCTTCTTGTCTTTGCTCTTATTCTTTTCCTTTTCTTTTTTCCTTCTCATTTAGTGGACACTTGTATTTCAATGAATTAATCATTACAAGAAATTGCACTTTTTGCGACTAAATTTTTAGTCGCCAAAATTCAGATTTTAGTTGCCAAAAAGTGTTCCCGACTAAATAGGTCACCGGCTTGGTCATGGGAAGATTGTCGGGGAAGGTATTGGCGACTAAAAAAAATTTAGTCGTCGAAAATCCTAAATTGGCGACTAAACAATTATTTGCCAAAAGTAAAGGTATTGGCGACAAAAAAACTTTAGTCATTGATAGGTTGACTTAGCGACTAATCTATCAGTTGCCAAAAGCTTTCAAAAAAAATTAATATTGCATTTTTAGCGACTAAGACATTTAGTCGCCAAAACTAACATTATTTACAACGACTAATTTATTTAGTAGCCAAAAAGTCTTTTTGTTCATCTTATTTTTTTTAGTTATTAAATGTTTTAGTCGCCTAAAGTGTAATTCTTTTTAGCTACTAAAAATTTAGTCGCCTAAAATCCTTTTTTTTTTATTTATTTGGTTACTAAAATTTTAGTAGCCAAAAGTTTTTTTTTTTCATTTTATTTTTTTTAGCTACTAACTATTTAGTTATTAAAAATATTTACTTCCTTTTTGGCTACCAATTATTTAGTAGCCAAAAACATGATATTATTTTTTTTTTAATTTGTCCATAATCTGTACGTATTCCGTGCAACTTATACCATGTATATAAACAAAACAATATATATTATCAATCATTTCACAATTTGTATCCATTTCACTTCCAATCATTCAAAAAGGAATAACTTTTAATGTCAAATTCCATACAAACTAAGTATATTCCAATCTAAAATAATAATTCCATACAAAACAAAGAATCATATGAAAATCATTATATTCGTATAGACTCTGGGGACGATAGTGAACGTTTGAAAAATCTGTCCAATATTGAGGTCTCGTTTGGGAACAGGCTAATTTAGTAATTTTTTGGTTATTTGGCTAAAATATGAGTTAAAAAAAACTAGTATGTTTGGGATGACTTTTTGACTTTTTACGAAAAGATGTGCAAAAAGTAGAGAGAAAAGAGAATCTTTGACTTTTTGGTATGAGTTGTTAGCTTTTTGGCTAATTTAGTAACTTTTTGACTTTTTGGCTAAAAATGAAGGTTCCCAAACGAGGCCTCATTTTCTAGAGCTTCAGCTATATTCTTATCTTGAATGTCACTATGAAAAGCATGCTTCCCGTTATTGTTACCATTTGTCATATGTGATTTATCCTGCACCTCTTTGTATAAACTTTGCAAAAACAAGTTTTTCTTGCGAGGTTCAGATACATGAGTGGAGAGATCAACAGTCGGGCATGTTGGCAAAGGGAATGTTTGGCCCTAGTCATTAAAACTCAACTCTTATAGAATTTTACCTACCAAAGAGAAGTGTGCGATGTGTTCTCACAAGATCAAATTAAAAATTTCAGTGAAAAGGGTTTTAGAAAGGCTCAAAAGGAACAGTGATGAGAGATATATAAGGAATACAAGTAGCTTGAAATATAAAGCTTCCACTGTGGAATAATAATGGAAAGAAGGTTTTGGACTTCAATTAGAGATGTATAAAGGCATACATAAACTCCTTGAACTTTAAAGAGCTTATTTGATTGATTCCCTAGCTAGAATGTCAAAGTATGAAGTCTAAGGTAACATCTAACAAATAACAATATAAGTGATTTATGTTGATAAACTCTCTGTTGGTGAAAACACATTCTAACTGGGGGTGTGGATCCATTTAAAATCCTAGTAAGAGACGTACGAAAGTTCAAAATACTGACAACTACTAAAGATTAATATATGAAGTAAGGAGAGGTACCATCCATACTGGCCTTATTTACCTTGTGAGAAAATGGATTTCAAGAGAAACAAAATAGCTAATAAAAAAGCTCTATCAGGTGAGCTCATATAAGTTACTGTCTAAAATTCTAACCACATTGTCATCATTTCAGCACCAAAGAGCAATGAGTGGAACAAGTTCTAGGATTTAATTGTTGTCCAAAGCACCAAATAAGCATAACTAGCTAATCATCAATACCGTTTACTATTACTCCTGTCCCACCACAGGAGCCTTGAGTAAGCAACAATTGAGAAATTATTAAGTAACAAGGATACAGCTAGCACAACATTATTCTAAAGAGAACTAGCAATTTCAACACCAGTTGCCAAAAAGGTAGTTTTAACAGGGCATGGTAAAAGAAGAAACAATACAGATTTTTTATACCTAATCATCCTCTAAATTTTAGGTATTAGTTTTATATTGCATTTTTTTGTTGTAGGTATTAATTTTAGGTATTGTGATCTAAGACGCTTGAATTAGTAGCAAAACAAGAGTGTCATAATCGTGCATCGATGGTAAGTATTGTTGCTGCAGAAAAAGTGTTGGTGTCAAAAAAGAAATGTCTCATAGTCACTTGAAAATAGCAAATAATATGAGTGCTAGAATTGCCTCCACGCAAATAGCAATATCTGCTAGTCACTTGAAAAAAGAAATTTTTTTTTGTCTTCTAGCTAAATTGACAAGTCTAAATCTGTCTGAATCCAGTTATTAATATTAAGATTGTAAATGTCAAACAATTACAATAATCATAATTTATGATCTAAAGTAGAATAATGTAAATTATGTTTTGTAACTGTAAATTTTCCGTTGTCTCTAATTCTTTTATGTTGTTTGCAAACACACACAAACACAAACTAACTATTCACATTAAAATATAATCTGCTTGCCATTCACAATAGCCAAACCAAATGCTTCTAAGGTAAAGAAAGATTTTTACACATCTCAGCAATTAAACAGAACTTTACAACCTCTGACTTTGATTCATTTTCTTTTGTACAAGATCTTACTAGATTAATAAAATTATAGTATTTGCAAAATAGGAAAGATGATTCACTTACCTCATCTTCGCTTGTAAGATCTAGTTTCCTCATTAGGTACTTTTGAATAAAAGAAACAGGTACATTCCCATCCCTGTTACAGAACAAATGCACGAATATCTTGTACAAAGAAGTCATGAATAAAAGGCATGAGACTAGAAAAATGAACAATTACATTGATAGAATCGAACATTACTCTGCATAAAACTTAGCATTGATGGAGAACTTAATTTTTTATATATTCATCATTTTCATTGCATTAGAGTTGGGTCCTTATTGTAATTGGAGAGGCATTAAATACTTTGTGAAAAGGATATATTAAAGAAACAACACTATGTATAATTTTTCCCCATCCTCCAAAAAGATAAACAAAAATAAATTTTAATAAATGCAATTTATGAAACATTGAAACAAAATGCATAATTTACAATCAATTTCTTCAAAGTAGGTCTACAATACAATGACTTCAGCACTAACTAAATCTTGAGGCCTTTTGTCCTGTTGGTGTCATCAAAAACATGATTACATTATCATAATAACACTTCTATTAAGAAGTTAAAGGGTCTTGAACCCCTACCTTTTTCTTGGAGATATCCTTTTGACCCAATGGCCTAGATTAAAAGACCTGTGGTAAGCTCAAGACTTCACAATCAATTAAAGAGCTTTAACAACGAATGCCACCATTTTCCTTGCAGTAATACAAGAATTCTAGTGCAATAGTATGTGATCTAATCGTAAAAGTAACAAAAAAAATCTACAAAATGGCGTTTTGTAGTGATGCGCAACCATCAATGTATATCAAAGTCTTAAACCTCATACCTCATACTTGCACAATTACACATGTCCCAACTGAACAAGTAAAAAGAATTATCATAGTAATGCATAGTTGTCCATGCAATTCTTATTCTTAAACTGTTGGTTCAAGAACAAGTCTTTTTCACTGGTTGCAAATTTGGTGAGAACAAATCAATGGTGGAATGCTTACCATGGACTTCCATGATAAATATTAACTCAATACAATAAGACTAGAATTTCATTTGCATGTAACATAGACGAATGGAAAATTAAAGCAATGATATCTGTAGAATTGAGATATGGGCAGTACATACTTGAAATATCTAATGGTGGGCAATTCTTTGAAGCCATAGATGTGACCCAGTCCACAAACCAGTTCTCAAAACCTCTCTATGACATTTTTACATACACTTGGTGAGCATAACCAAAACCACATTAGTTCATAAACAAAAACACCACTAATGACTCATAATAACCAAGACCACTTTAGTCTATAACAAAAACCTACAAAAGCTCATAACCAACACCTCTTCGGTTTATAAACAAACACTACAAAGAGGCATAACCAAAATCAAATTGAATCATAATAATAATAATAAAAAATATCACCATAAAGTCTCATAACCACGTTCACCACAAATTCTCATAACAAGGCACCACATGATCCATAATTTAGACCATAATTCATACATCACCATATAATTTTCCCACAAATAACATTGAATGAAAACAATGTTAATGTGCTAAATTCAAAAACTTAGAACTCATTCAAATCAAAACAAACCCACAAAAAGATGAAACACAAGAAAACAAAATAAAATCCAATTAAATTAACCGTACCACAACTCGGAATCTCACGAACCCGTCTCTGAAATGTGCTATCAGCAATCACTACTTCAATAGATGCCTTATCCCATTGCCGCAAACTGTCGAACACCTCGAATTCATTGTAGTTTGAAGCATTCTTCATCTGGGTATCAATGGGTTTCAATTGTTCATTGATGGGGAGGTGAATGGGTCTGAGAGAACGGAGGAGTTTCAGAGATTCCAACTTGGAAAGTGCCTCTTCTACCCATTGGGCCCATAAGCCCATCTTCATTTGCTGACACCAAAGAAACGCTAATGTCGTGAACAAATTGAGTTCAATATATATACTTGAAACTAGTAGAGCCAAGAGAGAGAGAGAGAGAAAGAGAGAGGCCGAGATGGACATAGATGGAGAGAGCGAGATTGATAGAGAGGGAGAGAGACTAAGAGTGACAGAGATGAAGAGAGCCCGAGAGCGACAGAGAGAAAAATACTTGTGATTATGTGGCGATGGTGATTTGTAGGTGGTGGTAGCGAAGTGCGACGGTGGCGAGCGTCGGTGGTGAACGCTGGTGGTGAGTGGAGGTGAGGTTTGGTAGTGTCTGAGACAGAAGTGTATATCGCGCGTGTGTGTGAGAGGCAGAACAGTGTGTAAATATATCGAGCGCCAAAAATAATTTGTTTCCTTCTAAAATAAATACTGCAACCTTTAGCGACTAATTAAATTTTTTGTTGCCAAATAACAATAAATAACGACTAACTATTTTGCAGCCAAAGATGGAGTAATAGCGACTAAAATATTTTGTCGTTGAAAGTATTTTATAAATTCCTCAAAAATATTTGAAATGCCTCCCTCCAAAATTTTAGTTTTTTGGTGGCTAAAATTCTTTTTGTCGCTGAAAATAAACTTTCGGTGACCAAAAGGTAAAAAAATAATTTTTTTATTTTTCATTTGGTGACTAAATGGTTAAGTAACCAAAACTTAATATACGGTGACTAAAATTTTTTTTTGTCGTTGAAAATAAACTTTTGGAGATCAAAATTTTGGTTGTCAAAGGTAAAAAAAATAATTTTTTTATTTTTCATTCGGCGACAAAATGATTTTAGTAGCGAAAAGTCAATGTACGGCGATTAAATTTTTTTTTTTGTTGCCAATTCTAGTATTTTTAGCGACTAAATTTTTTTTAGTCGCCAAAAATCAATATACCCCGACTAAAAAAATTAGTAGCTAAAAATATTTTACTTTTAGCGACAAAAAAAAATTTTGATTGCCAATTCTACAACTTTTGGCGACTAAATTTTTTTAGTCGCCAATTTTAATCGCCGAATGTACATTTTGTTGTAGTGAATGTACGGTGTACCATGCTACATTCTTGTGATAAATATCAAGCTATCAGTGAAAATTATTTCCCTTAGTTTTTCGCAGTGAAGTTTTTTCAAGTTAATGATAGTGGCGTAGTTGGACCCTTAATTTGTTTCATAGGTGACACAGGCTGAACTTTCGATCCTTCATTGGTTTCACAGTTGGTGAACACATCTTCTAACCAGTTTCCTTGATTGGTCTACTCAGGAGTTTGCCAATGGTGAGGGCTAATTTGGAGTGAGAGGAGGGTCTGATCCAATGTGGTCAAGTCTTTGATGGGATTAATAATGGGTGGTTTTTTGATATAGTGGAATGGTTGATAAGATTGACATCAAGTTGAAAGAATTAGTGGTGGAAATTCCAACCTTTCTCTACCTTTGTATGGGTTCAATCCATTCTCTTTCTCTGTACAGGAAATTCCAAGTAACTTTTGATGTTCATGAATTTTCTTTGTTATGTTTTATTTTTTTATTGGTTTAAATTCATTCGTAATTTCTAAAGAAGAGGCAAATTTTGTCTCTCAATTAATTTGTGTTTTCATTTTTTAGGTCAGAAATTACTCGGAGAGATGCAAATATGATCAAAGAATTCAAGGGCTTTGTGTTTCAAGTTTTTTCATTTTTTTAATATATGTAATCACGGTTAAATTTTTTTATTAATTCCTTTATATATACTTTTAAACATTCAACTTTCATCTATGAAATATATGATGTTATTCTATTCAATATGTGGTTGTGATTCAAAGGATAGTATATATATTGTGTATTACATTCTTCAAATGCGTAAGAAAATAATATTGATTATTTTTCAAATATGTCGAGCCTTTTATTTTATCACAGATTAATTGTGATGAAAAATGCATATAACGTGTGATCTTATCTCATTATTAATCACATGTTTTATTAGTTATACATCACACGTAAAAAGTGTGATCTAAATATTTATTATTACATGTAAAAAGTATAATCTAAATATTTATCATCTTTTAATGACACTTAAAATGTGTAATTAAAAATGACCATTTTTAATTATATTATCAAATATCACACTTTCACAAAACTTAATATATCACACATAAAAAGTGTGATCTGTTTATAATTTTGTAGTAGTGCACAGTCTAGTCAACTTAAATTTTTCTGGGAGGACATAAAATTGAAAAATTAAATTGCCGACTAGTGTTGAAATACAAATTTGTCCTTCAACTATTGCCCTACGTCTCATTTGTTGAAATATAACTTTCTCAGTTAATGATGATGTTTTTAACTTTAAGCAAGTCAGCAGTTGCATTGGGTCTTCATGAGTTGAATGTGGTAGGGTGGAGGTGCTTAGCAATTCTGGTTTTTGCAGATGTTTTGTTTTGCTTGATTGTTGTTAGTTTTGTTTGACTGCTCTTGAGGTGGTTGTGGTTTTTTTTGGCTCTTTGAGCTTGGTTTCTTACCCAACCATTTTGTTTGAGTTAGCATATGATAGGGTGTTTTTCTTGGTGCCAATCTAGTTGGGATAAAGGGAAGCTCCGTAATTTTTTTTGTTCTTTGCCTTCACTTTATAAATGTTATCCATATTTTATGTATGCTTGTTTCTATCAATAAAGGTTTTTTTATCGATTAAAAAAAAAAAAAAATCTCATTTGCCAGTCATATTATTGTATTTTCACTTCTTTATCGTTGGCAAATAGAAGCGCGACAATATACCATGGGTTTCCTTGGAGGCAAGGAGATGACGACATCTCATCTCAATCAATCTTCTCTCTCTTCTCCGTTGATATGCATGTAATGATTAGAGTTTTGTTTGGCGATTGATGCTTCAATTTTTTATCTATGGATTGTGTATTGATAGTGTGTTGCGAATTTGTATCTTATGGGTCCATTTTTTTAGACTTTTTGAATTTTTTTAGTCTTTTTCGTTTTATTATGTGAGTTTTATACCAGTAATTACAATCTTTTATTTGTGTTAATTAGGAATTGTATATACAAGTCTTGATTTGTTTTCAGCCTCAAAAACACAGAAGTGGGGTAAAAATTTAAAAGCTCTGTCTCAATTTTTTGTTTGTTTTATTTTTTTCAATCACATAGATAAAAGAGGAACAATAAAGTCGCCCAGATTTGTTCTTCAGGCATTTATTAGTTTGTACTTGCCAGATTTTATTAGTTTGAGACTTGCCCAATTTTATGTTATAGCCAATTGAACTAGGGCATTTTTATGAAATTTCACATATTAATCCTCATCCAAAGATTACAAAATAGTGCTTCTATTAGCACTCCATTAATTATTTTAGACTTTTTATTTTTCAACTTTTTTTAATTATAATAATAACTTCATGAAACTACTAAAAATAACATCAATAATTTTGGGACACTCTATCTCACAATTAAAACCACACACACCCACCTCTATTACCATGCATCCATATTTCTCAAATCCCATGTTCAAAACCTATCCACCATCAAAATTTTAAAAATCCTTTGGTAGTAATATTTCAGCAATAATGGTGACAATTATTTGATTACCTACATTTCTTCGATAATGACAATGAGTGAAAGTTTTTTCGATAATCACTATTCCATGAGATGAAAGGAGTATAACAGTAAAAACTCAGAGGATGTTCATAGTTTTGATAGTGTTCTTAACTCAAAGGCGATTGACCTTATATGAATAAGTTTCTTGAAAAAAATGACAAAAACAATAAAAACTGTTCGTAATTTTTTTGGGATTGAACTCTCAAATATATGACCGAAATTTAGAAACACTGGCCCAAACGTTGTTTATTTGTTTGGGAATAGGTAACTGAACATTTATTTTCTCAGGTCATGAACAAGTATGTAGAGATGAAGTAGTAATCACCTTCGTATGTTTTGTTAGGCTTTTAACAGAGTGACTTTTTGCGGTGTGGAGGTGTGCATTCAATTAAATAGGTGCATATATTTTTACAAGGATAATTTTGGTATTATTTAGAGGGAGAAAAGAAAATTTAAGGATTTTAGAATTTATAAGTAAGGGTCTAAAGAAATAGGGGGTTCAAAATAATTGATAAGGTGCTAATAGCAATACTCTTACAAAATAAACAAGAATATTGCCGTAGTATTACTAATTAAGTAGTGTACAAAAAAAATACGTTTACGTCTCCAACTTTTTTTTTTTTCATTGGCCAAAGTCTGTTGTTAATTGTTAGATTAATACCAATTGAAGCTGGCCTCTTCACCCTTGCAAAATATTTAAGTGATTGTCTCTTCTCCCTTAGAATTAAACCCTTAGGAATGTCACCACATTATTAATCTCCTATCTCGTAGTTTCATAATCTATTTTATGCTTTTAGTTATTGAACCTGTTTTGCCATACTTCCCTTCCAACTATCAAATTGTGAAACAACAAAGAAAAAAGCCACACACTCAAATGATTTTCTTGTTAATTAAACACATTTTAATTTGTTAGGTAGAGTACTCATGCACTCATTAAATTAATAATTACTTTTTTTTTTTTTTACATTCTTTGAACACATTTTTCATTCATAATTTTAATATTTTCAATAAAGATGCTAAAACAGTAGTGATAAAAAATGAAGGCAAGACAGGACAGGGCACGTGAAGAACAGAGAGTGGTAAGATGCTTTACGTTAAAATATAATCACGAGGGGAAACGATTGTCTCAAATCTGCGTCGATAGGAAAAGGACGGGAAAGTCGTACCAAAACATTGGAAGCTCTATAATTGTTGTATTATTATATAATAATAGTAATACAAGACAAGACAATGCACACACAACAAAACGGTAGTGTTCAAACATACAGAAAAAAGTGATTGGATGCATCTCACAGTATAAAGTCAAAAATATACAGAGAAGTGCAGACATGAATCAATGCATGTCAGCCACTTCCCAACATATATCTTCATCTTTAACATATGTCACTGAAATCAACATTTCAAACCAAGTAACAAAAGTTGGATCCAAACCAAGGGTATATAAGTTATTATAGGGCACAGTCGGCTTATCCAATCCTAATTTAGGGATTGTTTGGGATGTTCTAAATAAGTATATTTTTTAACTTTTTATAAAAGATGTGTAGAAAAGTAAAGAGGAGATATTGATTGATGTGACTCAAAAAAATAAAAAGATAAAAAGTGTGAACTTATTTAGTCTTTCCAAACAAGACCTTAGTGTGAGAGTCTTGTGATTTGTCTATTATTAGAAAGCTAGCAATGTAATATAATATAATTTATCCAATAATGAATGAACATAACAAGTCCAGACATTTTTCCGTGCTAAATTTACACAACCGGTTGAAGCTCAATAGCATGCGGCTGGAAATTTCTCTTCCACAAAACCAATCTAATTGGGACAAAAGGTAGGAGGAGGAGGAGGAGCATCATGATGGAGAAATAAGAACGTGGCATAGCATACAACGTGCACCATCGTCTTGTCCAATTCACTTCAAAGAAAAGAAGTCGAGGCATTAGAGTGTCACTATATTGAGAGAATAATGGGCTCATTAACTCTCCGTTTGGATCGTGAATTGAAGTGAGAAAAGAAACTATTGTTAGTTTCACTTAGGTAAAAAAAGAAAAGAAATGTTTACAATTTCTCATCATTATTTTTGCATGAATAAAAGAGAATAAAATGTAATTTCTCACATATCTTATTTGGATAGAGTAAATAAGGAAAAAAAATAAGAAGGAAAGTGTTGTATTTTATTTTATCAAAATAACCTTCCATATTAATAAGTTATGTTTTTCATAAGGATTATTTGGGTATTTTAGAAAATTTTTATTAAACCCAAT